CACCAGGGGACACACTCTGGACCTTGTTTTTACCCTGGGTCTAAATGCTGACAGTGTTTGTCCCGAGGACGTTTATATTTCAGATCACCATTGCATTTTCTTTAACTTGTCAGTTTCTGCGTCCCCACCTCCTGCTCGCCGTATAGTTAGTTCTCGTTTTCTTAATGAGAGCACAGCTAGCAATTTTTCTGCTGTTTTTGATCCACCCTGTTCTTCTGATAATGACCCAGATTTGTTAACTTCTCAGTTTAACGAGCACTGCCTCTCCATTCTGGACAACATCTGTCCTGTCAGAACCAGATCAGTTCCTGCAGTGAACCCTACTCCCTGGTTTAATGACAGCCTTCGCAGCCTGAAGCGCCAATGCAGAAAAATTGAGTGTTTGTGGAAGAAAACCCATCTCCACGTCCATCTGCTGCACCTAAAGGATCTTCTGACATCCTTTAACTCTGCAGTCAGAGACGCTAGGGTTTCCTATTTCTCCAACCTGGTGTCCCAGAGCAAAGGGAACCCCAAGGTGCTGTTTAACACCATCAGCAGCATCGTCTCTCCTGCCACTCCTACAGCCTCCATCCACTCTGTTGCAGACTGTGAGAACTTTCTGTCTTTCTTTGTGGACAAAGTCAGTAAGGTTAGATCTAGCATCTCTCCTTCAGCCTTAGCGCTGCCTCTCCCGACTCCAACCAGGCCCATCATCCTAGATAGCTTTGCTCCTGTTTCTTTGCCTGAGTTAACCAAACTAGTTAACTCTATGAAGACCTCTGCATGCCCCCTCCACATCTTACCCTCCTCTTTGTTTAAAAGTGCTTTTCAGTCCATCGGTCCCAGCGTGCTCTCCATAATTAATGCTTCTCTGGTCTCTGGTCAGGTCCCTGCTTACTTTAAGAATGCTGTAATCCACCCGCTTCTTAAAAAACAGAGTCTCGATCCCTCTCTCCATAGCAGCTTCAGACCCATCTCTAAACTTCCGTTCATTTCCAAGATCTTGGAAAAGGTTGTGGCTAAACAACTCACAGCTGCTCTTGATGAACATAACATCTATGATAGCTTCCAGTCAGGTTTTCGTAGAGCTCATTCTACTGAAACAGCTCTTCTTAGGGTCTCTAATGACCTTCTGACCCACAGTGATGCAGGGGACTGTTCTGTTCTGGTCCTGCTGGACCTGACTGCAGCTTTTGACACTGTTGACCATCACCTGCTACTGGAGAGGCTGAGAGACTGGGTAGGCCTATCAGGATCTGCTCTGGAGTGGTTCTCCTCTTATCTCTCTGAGCGCTCCTTTTCTGTGGTTGTCTCCAAGTTTAGGTCCTCTACCACCTCTCTTACCCATGGTGTCCCACAAGGTTCTGTGCTGGGACCTCTGCTCTTCCTCCTCTATCTGCTTCCTCTTCAGCACATCCTGAGCTCCTTCAAAGGAATCTCCTACCATCTTTATGCAGATGACATCCAACTGTACATCTCCTTTAAGCCCCATGAGATGTCTAAGCTGCAGCTGTTACACACCTGCTTAGACTTTATCAAAACCTGGATGGTGGGAGCTTTCTTCAGCTGAATGAAGATAAGACTGAGATCCTCATCTGTGCCCCAGACAAGCTGGTTCCCAAAGTCAGAGACTCTCTTGGTCAGCTTGCTTCTCACACCAAACCTTCTGTCAGGAATCTTGGTATGACCTTTGACCCAGCTCTTACCCTGGATTCTCATGTCAGTTCTCTTGTTGGCTTTTCCTTCTTCCATCTCAGGAACGTTGCTAAGCTGAGTCCCCTTCTGTCTTGCTCTGAACTTGAGACAGTTCTCCACACCTTCATCTCCTCACGCTTAGACTACTGTAACTCTCTTTTCACGTGTCTGAGCAGAACCTCCCTGAACCGTCTACAGGTGGTTAAAAACGCCTGTGCTCGGCTTCTGACCAAGTCCTCCAAACACACCCACATCACCCGGCTTCTCCTCCAGCTTCACTGGCTGCCAGTCAACTTCAGGGTTCATTTCCAGATCCTGGTTCTGGTCTATAGGGCCTTACATGGACAAGCACCATCTTACATTGGTGATCTTCTTAGTCCCTACACTCCCAGCAGGTCCCTGAGGTCCAGTGATCAAAGCCTACTGGTTGTGCAGCACCAGGCTAAAGGTCAAAGGTGACAGATCATTTGCTGCTGTGGCCCCCAGACTGTGGACCTCTCTCCCCCTGAGCCTGAGATCAGTGGACTCAGTGGTCTCCTTTAAAAAGCAGCTGAAGACTCACCTGTTCAAGCTGGCTTTTGTATGACCTTCTTCACCTCTCTCTCTTTATTCTGCTCTCGCCACCTATTCCACCTTCCTCAGGATCCACTGATTTCCCTCTTTCCTATTCACTCTCTCTTTAACATTTTTTCTTTTAAATCGCAATTGCTTATTTTTGCTCATTCTACATATATTTTTAAACATTTTCTAAATGCTTTTTTATATTTTTACATATTTTTTATTTTTTGTTTTTGTTTTTGTGAAGCACCTCGTGATTTTTATCTTGAGAGGCGCTATAGAAATGATATTTTCTTCTTAACAGAGCTCAGCTGGTCAGATGTCATTTCAGACCTCTGAAACGTCTCATCGCCATTCAAAAACTGCTGCACCTATTGGAAAATTTCAAAAAGCGTGAGCAGCAGAAGGCTTTGATGGTCATCTGTGTGAATTATGTGCCTACCATGAATTGTCTAGAAGCTATGATGAGAACATTTTAGCTGTCTGAAGCCGATCGGAGAAAATCTGTTCCTTTAACATGGGTTTCAATGAGACAGAATCAGGGTCTCTCCTCCTCCTGAGGCTTGTAGAGAAAGAACGGTAACACTTACAGATAAAATGAAACCCATTCTGAAAAGATGACAAAAATTCCTACTTTGAGATATTTGTTTCAGTACTCCAAACGATCTGGGTGTTGGAAAGAGTCGTTTCCAGAAAATGTGAAGGTCAAAAGTTAGTGTGGAATTTTCAGTTTAGAGTGGTGAGAAATTTTTAATTTTGAATATTCTCAAAGAAAAACCACAATGTTTGGAGTACGTTCATGATTTATAGCTCAAAACAAAAGGTATATCCGTTAGCTGCAAGCCAGCGTGCATCTCATTTCAATCGGATTTACGATTTTCTCAGGACAATGCCAGAAATGGAGCAAAGGACGGTCATTGCTCCTATCTCTGTCCATTATTATTTGTGATTTTTTCTGAAAATCTCAAGTCGTACCTCAAATTGTTCCTGTGATTTTAGAAAAACTGATATCAAAAAGATATCAGTTTTAGCTGAAAGTATTGAGAGTTTGTTGAAACTTGAATGAAGCCTCTAGGTTATGACATGGTTTGGGGAATGCGTTTAACCCAAGACATGCAGAATCACTCAAAATCTTATGGTAATAAAAAATAATCTTTATTTTAAAACTGGAACTGAAGGTGCACTGGAAAAGCCCAGTGGAGATTGAGAGCGGGAGCGCAGCGTCTGAGGGGAGAGCAGATACAGGTGAGTCCAGGAAGGTAAGTCTAAACTTGGTGGGTGCAGAGAATAGACTTACTGGAAGTAGGGGAGCGTAGGAATGAGGGAGGGTGCCAGGGTGAATCCAAGTGGGGTGTCCAGGAGAGGGAGCGAGAGGAGAGCAGGAGAGCGGGCCGGCCGCGAGGAATGGAGAACGGTGAGAGCTGCGTCCGGAAATCCTATGGGGCACAGGTGAGTAATCCTGAGGAGTTGCAGAAGTCCAAAAACATTCCAAAACCTGCACGGGTAAGCACAGGGAAAAGATCCAAAGGTTCACAAAAAAATCCCAGCAACACTAGAGCACTAAATCCAAGAGTCGCAAGAGGGCAGGAAACTAACAAACTGTAGTCATCATCCGGCGTCGAGGAGTGTTCCCCATCCTTCTTTTGTAACCGGACCTGCTGATTGCAAATCAGCTGCAGCTGGAGCCTCCCTCTCCTGAAACACACACCACAAAGATGGGAAAATGAGAGAGGTACTCACCCCGGCACATGACAGGTTAAAGTTAACCTATAAGTGTAAGAGTTCAATAAAGTGATAGGATTTAGCTGAAAATTGAGCAACCCCATTCATTTCAATGGGACCAAAAATCACAGAAAATGCTGAATATCTCAAAAAGAATCAAATATTTTGATACCAAAAGTCATTGCCGGCATAAGCTGAACGTTTTGATACCCAAATTGTGTAAATAGTTGAAGAATTGTGGAAGTAGTTAAATGCCAAAAAATGTACGGAAGCAGAATAATAAACTAACTATAAGGAGAAACAGATCACTAAAGTTTGAATGCTAAGTAAAAATAAACCTGACAAATCTAGATCCTCTGCTTAGGGGCCTAAATCATTTTCACTATTTGTCTCTATTTTATTATTTGTATTCAGTTTTAAAAGTCTGCGTTTAACAAACAGGTGTAAGAGTCTTCATGCTCGTAGGCTGACAGAATAAATGATGTTTAGTCAAATCTGACCAAACTGGTGGACATGGGGACAAAACCCAACTGTCATGGCTTTTATCTGCCACTAGATGTCAATACAAACCTACGTTTCTCTCATTCTGAGTGCTAAACGCTAAACTCCTTTACTGGTGAACACTTGTGCCTAAAAGGAACACTTGCAATTATTAAAGGGGTTTTTTTTTTTGTTGAAATTTTGAATTTTCATAGTTTGAAGAAAATTTAAAACAGTTTTTTCTATTTTTTTCAATGAAAACAAAGACTGAAATAAAACATTTTTTCCGCTTTTTGCCATAGAGATGCATTTAAAAATCCTCCTTCAAGTTAAAATGACGACTTTTCAGCTTTTTTCATTATATCACAGATTGCTTATTAACATAATTATTAATCACGCAACCACGCCATAAATGCAGTCATTTTATTACATAGATTAGTCCTTTCAAAAGAATATTTTACTCTATTTTATCTAATTTGACAGCAAAATTAACTTTAAATTCCCGTGACGTGTGTCAGAGTGATGAAACTGGAAGCGCTCCTCCTGAGGTGGGGCTGCTGGAGGAGGAGTTTCCAGATTGGGATTAGGGCAGGTTTCACCTCCGTGTCCGCTGCCGACCATATGAAGGAGTTGTGTCAACTTTATTATTGTTGAAGTGGGACAGCCAGTGCGGAGTCTGGACGCGGATCTTTACCCCTGAATGTGTGCGGTTGTGCTGCGTTAAACACCCGCAGCTGCGTTCACCGTGCGCTCCCGTTTGGATTCGTGCGTGTCTCACGGTAAGAAAAGGAGGTTTAAACTCTAAAACAAGTCATTCACACGCATTTAGATGTACGGTTTGATTCCTGACGTTATTATTAAACCGGTGATTGACATGTGCGCCTGGGTGGAACGAGAGGGACTCCAGACTTCTGCTCAGGGGAACGTCATGATCGCAGTTGTTGTTTTAGTCCAGTGACAACACACTCCCATCGTTTACAAGTTAAAGAAGTGAAAAAGTAAAGTGCTTTCTGTTTATTCCTGTTTGTAAACACGAGAACAAACTAGCCCCTCCCACTTTTATAATCACAATCATTCAGTTTGGAATAAGCAGGCGCAGCTAATAAACCGTCTCAGCGTGCTTTCACAATCCGTGTGCGTCAGAGAAAAGCACGCTGCTGTTGTTGTGGAGATATTCCAAAAGTCACGTCTTCTGCTCAGATTGACCTGCTCTGTAAGAGCTTAGATCTCAGGTGTCCCCTGGGAGGGAGGAGACCACGAGCAGGTATAGAGTTACCTGCTAACGTCATCAATTTTTGATTTCTTCCAATCAATGCTGTCCACGATCACCTGGTACCAGCCTTTGTTGTGTTGTTTCCAACACTTACAGTAAAATGTGACGTTTGGGTTCAGATCAGAGAAAGTTTTTAGGATCCAAACTCCATCTGATGGTTAATGAATCTCCTCAGAGGTAGGTTGTGTATAAATGCGTAGAAAGGGAAGATTATCACGTGGTTGTTGGTGGTCTGAGTTTTTCAGGTCTACTGGGATTTTCACCCACAACCATCTCCAGGGTTTGAAGGATAAAACAGTCCTGAAGGTCCAGCCTGGTAATGCAAGAGCACCCTGGAGCTGGGAGCCATTGATCACTGACGAAATGTTGAATGAACTTAACCAAGTTGTGTCAGCTGGTTCCACTAAACCTGGTTGTGTAATAAAGGTGTAATAAACAATTACTTTTGACACAACAATGTATATTACTCTACATTTAAGCAACTATTAGTGGAACAAGTTGCCTCATCTTGGTTAAGTTAATTCAACATTTAATTTCTTAGAGTGTATCAGCTGGCTCAGACACCCACATCCTGCACGTGGAGTCTGTTTCTAGGTTCCTCTGCAGCATCCCTCACCATGAGCTGTTTCAAAGCAACACTTCAAGCCTTTTAATTGAAGTGTCCAGATTTATGAATATATACTTGTACTTGGTTAATGTCTGCAGAAGCAACGGTCTCCGATGCTACTCCAGCCCAAATCACAAAGTCTCTGTGTGCTCCATTTCAGAAAACAACAATCAGTTAGTTCAGGATAACAGCTGGAACTCTACAGGCCTGCATGTGACGCCACAACCTTCTAAAGCATCTTTAGGACTGAGCAAACCTGAGAGGAATTTGTGGAGCTGCTGATGGCTAGTTTTGGCTAGTTTTGATGATGTCAGTGCTAAAACCTGAACCCAAGAGCTCCACATAAAGGCTCCTGCAGCTCTGATTTGATTACATGCGCCGCTTCAGGTCACATGCTGACTGTGCTTGCTCTAGCTCTCTTGTTCTGCCCTTTGACGGCTCGGGGAATCATGTGATTAGGTTTTATCTTAAGCATTTTAATAAGTACAGCAGGAAGTACGTGATCACAGACCAGGTTCTGTGGTTTTGGTACCAGTAGGTGTTGGTGTGAACCATCGACATACAGGTGCCAACAGACCCCGTTCCCCCCAGTTTAAACGAGACTGCTTAGCTCTGTCCCATGTTTGGGATTAGCCCGTTTCCTTGCTGGCAGCCCAACTCTGACCCTGATAACAAAATGCTTTCATGGCCAGGAACGTTTTTACTTCAGCTTCTCAAACTAATGATTGACCTTCATTTGAACTCTTGGTTGATATTGAGTAAGCCTGATGGGCAATGCTCTCCATGTTTTCTGGTGAGGACACCTAGCTGGCTTCCATCCTAATCTGCTGCGTTGTGCTCACTAAAACCTGGTCAGAGCACCAACAAGTCACTAGTGACCCAAAACCTTTCTGCCCTTCCCCTGAACCAGCTTTAGCCGGTTTCTTGTGTTCCTACTGGAGTCTGAGCTGCAGGATTAGGCCGTTGTCTCAGTTCTTTCCTAAGTAGTTTTCTACTGGTGGTTCACTGGGAATGCTGGGATACTCAGGCACCTCAAAGCTCCATGGCAGAGTTAGTTTTCACCCCGGTGATCTGTTTTGTCCATAAATAAATCACAATAAAATTTGTGTTTTTTTATGAAAACAAAACAAAAATTCTGGTCTGTCAGTACTTCCATCTGGCTTATTTTGGCCAGTGTCATCTCATGTTAACTCTGAAGACTTTGCTAGGACGCCAGCATATCACGACTCCTTGGGAAGTGAGTGATGTCACTGATCAGAGCCAAAAGGCATCCACAGACTTTAATGACAATAAAAATAAAATTTTATCAAAGTACGCCGTAATTTGATCCATTCAGGGGCGGGGAGAGGGGCTGTGCATGTAAAAAGCAGCGTTCACTGACCAGAATAAAAGAAGTTTTTTACGGTGCTCTGTAGGAGACCACATCAGCGTATATTACAGCGATGTGAGAGACTTCTGCTGCAATTTTCAGCATTGGGAATTTAAAAATTTAAATTTTAAAGCAGCATCAATGCTGCTTATTTTCATCTCTTTCCATTCTGCTTCACCACCAGTAACTCTTCCAATTCTCAAATGGTTGTTTGGTGACGTCTGTGGATGTAATTTACTGAGTTACAACAAATCAGCATGAGTTAACCACAAGCCCTGCCCGGTGACGGTACAGGGCCAGTTTCCAAGTACATACCCCGGCTCACACCTTGTGAAGGCCCAGTAAAATGACCCGGAAGCTCAGATGATGGAAACAGGCCTAACAGCGCTAAACAACGCTTCCCTGGTTCCTCTAAAAGGTTCCAGTCATAGAAATGTGACTTCAGTTTATGGGCTAACACCAGTCAGAGCAACGTCAAGATTACAGTTGCTGTGAAACAACACAAATGTCAAACTGATGCTGGGGTTCCTGAGAGCAACATGTTCTAGGCGTGTTCATGATGGAGACACAAACTGCCACAGCTAGGTGCCTCTTCCTTCTGATCAGCTCATCAGTCTGGTCATTTCTACTGAGGAGATCTAAAGATCTACCTGGTGACATATTAACCAACCATAAGCTTTTTATTTAAACCCCATCAGACCATCAGTTTGCTTTAAGCACAATAAAAACTTGTAAAACCTGCAAGTGTGTTTAAAAGATGATTCGTTGTGATTATTTTTTGGTAATAGTTTTTATGCTTTCTGGAGATCTTTTTATATAATAAATGTTGGATTTTTGTGTACTTCATCTTTATAAATACATATTCAGATGTCTGAACATGAAGTTTTTTAAACTTGAGTTTTGCTAGATGAGTGCAGCTTTGGTTTGTTTTGATCGCTCTCTGCCAAACATCTTCCGACTTCACAGACCAGCTTTTATCTTCTGGCCGTCTCCCTGCTCCACATGCAAACATGGTTGTTTAATCAGCGGGAGAAAGGATGCAAACGAGTCACAGAGGAAGCAGAGATAGGATATACCTGCACCAAAAAGCCTTATCAGTGACAGAAACCTGTTGCATTGGGACAGACTGCTGTGTTGCCATGGCGACATGAATGTGCACAAGGAATGATGACACCAGAAAACATTGCATGCACGCACACACACACACACACACACACACACACACACACACACACACACACACACACACACCTTATATAGTCAGCATTATCATCACAAACTTATATTTGAACATTTGAGCAAAGATGAGTTCCAAAGAAACCAAAAAGGGATAAAAATAAGTTGTTATTATTCTTTATTTCTAATTAAAATATAACAAAAACTGAAACTTCACCAGAGATGATGTGACATTTTAACTTCCTGGCACGTTTGTGTTGCTAAATCTTTCCTTTTCTGCTTGTGCGTGTTAATAAATGTGAGCAGTACAGCAGGACCAGCCGGTTCTGGAACCCGTTCAAAGACGACTGCAGCAGCCAACACCCTGTTAGCTTTCACGAGCGTTTGAAAAAGCAGCGACCTGCAGCCTGCAGCAACACTATCTGATAACATAACACACTTATCGTATAAGTCAGTTACGGGTGTGGATCTGCACGCACTCTGGAGAGTGATTTGATTTACTGTAACTTTACCACATTAATAATTAAATCTACAGGGTAATCGTCCTCCTGGAGGAGTGTTTACATATCTTGTCATCAGTTTAAACTGTAACAACGTGATAAAGACAAATGAGTAAAGCCATAGGATTTAAATGTTTGTGGTATGTAAGGTGAAACTGATGTTTCCTGAAGACTTTGAAATATTAAATAATACAATAATAGTTGTTTAAATTTAACTATCTAGATAAAGTTCTTAACTCATGCCGACATTTAGGGCTTTTTTTAAAAGCCACTAGGTTTCACCAACTGACATTTAATTGCTTTAACATTTCCAGTATGTGTGTGTGTGTGTATGTATATATATATATATATATATATATATATATATATATATATATATATATATATATATATATATATATATATATATATATGAGGAAAATTGAAATAAATAAAATAGAAATAAATGTACAACAATGAATTCTTGGTGTCTTGACAGCTGAGTGGGACACACCCTATATATTTCTACTTCCTGCTGTTATTGATGAGTCGAGGTCTAAATGTCAGACTTTTCTGGCCTCTCAGTGGCTTTACCTGTACACTTTAATATTTTAGCAACTGCTATCGCTTTAATGGACTTGTCTGTCCCTTTGGTTCCCGTGGTGACAGTTGCCTGGATTAAGCTAACAGGACTCCCTCAGCTGACGTCACTTGGTTTGGCAAAAAAAAAAAAAAAAACATTTCTCTTACAAAAATGACTAAAAACCTAAATCATTTTTGTATGTGTAAAAAAATGTTTAAAACGAGTTTCCATTAGGTTTCTCTAACCATTGGTTCATGGGAGTGTCTAACCTACAATTTGCTCTTCAAGCCCGCCCAGCGACTCTCCACCGACATAAAGCGCTGTGATTGGTCTAACCTAAAACTGTTGGGACCAAGGGTAGACATGCTGAGGCTATGATGGAGCATGGCCAGACCGACCCTGCAGAGCTAAATTTTTTGGCACAACTAGGTTTGTCTCGATTTCTAGGCTACAAAATCCCACTGTGGTTTTGAAGTTTTTATGTATTTATTTTTTGCCGTTTATTCGGCTCCGTGTGGCGTACAGCTACAACAACACCCTAATCCCGATTGAGATGAGCATGTTTGAAGTATATATTTTTTGGTTTGTCCATGTTGTATGAGAACTGAACTAAAATCCACAACAGAAACAGGAAAATGGACAAATAATAAATAATCTCAGAGGTTGAAAACTGCTGTTTAACAAGAAAGTTCATCCTTTATTTCAGAGGAAAGGGTGTGCCCTGCCCTTCAGGTCTTTGTCCTGACCACACCTTTGCTTATGAAACCATCTGGGATGTCAGACAATACCAGAAACTAGACCAAGATAAACAACAAAACAAAGATTAAAACCCTCCAGGTGAGGATTTCTGAAAGTTTGCTCTGGTTAGGTTTTCTCCTTTGATTCCCTCAGAGATGATCTCATGTTTCTTGTTTACCTTGGGAGTGTTGCTCTTTATGCAATACCATCAGGAATACTTCTCGCACTAAACTCGCCAGCCATGTTTGCTTGGAGGTAAAAATATTCATGCAAACCAGCACGCTTTCCAGCTGATGTGTGAAAGAGATTTTACCATTTGGTTAACAAATGTATTTTCAATGTGCTCGCTCAAGGTCAGATTATTATTATTTATTTTGTGTTGATGTGAGAAACAGTTGTAAGAATTGTTGATGGAAACATTTCAGTGAAACTTGAAAGGTGTCGTAGTTCTCTTAAATTAGCCCAAAACGAGGAAATTCAAGCCAGATATTGTGTTCAGCTGCTTCATCTGTTGACCCAAGTGTTTGGATTTTTCGAAGCGTCTTCCTGAAGGACTTTAAAGGTGTGGAACACTCGTTTGATCAATACATTTGCAATGGTCTCCGAATGCCTTGTAAGTCATACTCAGAGGAAACAGCCCAGAAGGGCCTGTATCGGCCAGCTGGAGGAGAACGTGGCAGAACACAGCAGGATTTGGACTCTTCTTTCCTCATATTTGGACAATTTCTCCTCTGACTGGCTAACGCCTCGGGCACATCGGAGGCAGACGCGCCGCGCTGTCATTTTAAATGGAAGCCATTATACAGTGGTTAATGAGGGTGGGCACATGGAGAGCGCCGCACCGTGTCCCAGAATAACCACGCCTAGGCGCTGAAGATAGGCGCCAGTTCTAACTCAAGAGGCGGCGCCACAGCTGTTTACGACATTGTAGAGTACTTTACAACAGACATTATGACGCAGAACGGCTTTATGGCACGAACTCAATCGCCAGCACAAACCAAGATGCAGTTTTGATTAAAATATTTAAATAAATACCGTAATGAATTTGAGTCTCACAAAACACGACGGCAAGTCTGATTACGTATGAACAGCGTAACTTTCTTCTTTCTGTTCTCAAGTCCCATCTGATGTTGTGGCTGTTGCGTGACTGTCCAAGAAGCGCTCAGCGGTGCGGCATGTCCTGTGTGACCACTTGACTGCTCAAAATCTTTGGCGCGACGCTGCGCGGCGTCTCCGCCTCCGATGTACCCCCGGCTTAACAGCAGTGCGACTCTACCACTGACTCTTTTTGCTTTGCAATATCGATATTTTATCTCCATAAATAAGTCAAGCCTGGAGGAGGTTCTGTGTGGTGAAGTTGCTAATGTTGACAGTTATGCCACTTACTCGCTAGCATCGACTCCACTCCACACAAGACGTTCTCTGCGGTTTCCTGGACACTAAACCAACAACAGCCTTCCCCAGGCCTGGACTGGGATGAGAAATCAGCTCTGTCATCTGTCCATGCTGCCATCCCTGGGGGTGTGGATTTATTTGCAACTCGCGGTCCCATCAGCCATCAGAGACGTGGGTCCCGCCGGCCATAGGAGCTGGAGACCGTACCAGTTGGGACATTGGTCCACCAGGAAGTGTGACAAGTCCACCCCTGGCCTTCCACGTCGTGAGTCAAGATGGGCGAGTTCATGAGTGTTATGTGACAGTGTGATGTAGATCTATCAGGCTTTTCAAATCCTAGAGTTTCACCGTCTGTCTTCTATAAGAAGCTAATGTAGGAGATAGGTGTAGGAGACTATTTTCTTGTTCAGCCTTCATGAAAAACTCAGTCAGTGATTATCATCAGAATTAATCATTAAAAATGGATTTTAAGTGTTCCACATCTTTTGTATGTTGAATTTAGTAAAATAATAGTTCTGGTTTTCAAAAAGTTACATAAAGCATTCAGATGGAGTATTAGTATTAGTACTTTCACCAGAAACCTGTAACATCAGTCATGTGTTCTACCCTCTGGTGAAGGATCTACAGGTGGCTTTATTATAAAACATGGGTTACAATTACAATAAGGTTCCCTTTATTACTGTTACTTAGTGCATTATTAACCATTAATAAACTATTAAGTAAAGTATTAACAACTGATTAACCATAGCATGTAACGCATTAGCAAGCAGACCCCCCCCCCCCCCGACCCTTTGTCCTAACCTTGAGGACACTTGATAGTTAACAATAATGGGACCGTTGATAAAGGAACCCTTTGTTTATCTTAATGCACTAAGAAACATAAATAAAGGGAGCCGTGTTGTAATTGTTACCAAAACTTGTCAGGAAAGTACTTTCTGAGTGAAAATGTGTCCTGCAGCGAGACACCACCACGTCAGCCTGATCCTGGCTTCATGCCAGCAGCTGACATCATTTGTATGTTGTAGCTTGTTTGTTTGTTTACTGTTGAAAGTTTGTTACACAGTTGCATATTTTCTCCTCATAGAAACCATTCATTTGGGTTATTTTCTGACAGATTAGAAGTATCTGATGTCTTTGAAACCACTTTCTACAATCTCATCCTGTGCTATAAATAGACCCCCGCATCACCCGAGCCTCCCTTCCACATGTGAAATGTAAAAATCACTCCCGGTGTTACGTCACCAGCCCGCCGGGTCTAAATCACCACACCTGTCTGATCGTTGCTGGGTTTGCCAAGCAGGACTTGTTAGATTGACGTTGTTGAACTTGCTTGAGCTTGTGAGGGGCGGAGACACAAGTTTGTCCTCAATGAGACATAAAATGCTTGTTTTATGTCTCATTGAGGTTTTATGTCTCATTTGACTCTCCCTCCACACACACATAAACACACACGCCAACTTTTTCCATCTGTTGCAATCTCTCTCTTTCTCACACTTTTAGCTCTGGAGCATGCTCTCCAGAAAGCCCATGTTTTCTGACCGCTAGCGGTCAAGACGCCAGCGTGATCTGGCAATCGAGCTTTGGGGAGTGTGTGTAATTAACGTGCATGCTGTCTGAAATAAAAACTCCGAACCTTTTCACTTTTTTAAGGTGAAACAGACAGACTGACTGGTCTCATCTAAACTGTTTACAAATGAAATTCTCTTTTTCCTGTAGGTTTTCCTGCCTTTCACTTTTAATTCTCTACATCCTTTCCTCCTCTCCACATCTCCATCCAAGTGGGTTTCGGAGCAGCTTACTCACATCCAGTCACTTCCCACCATGTCTTGCGTCTGACACGCAACAGTCATGCCTTTTTGACATATTTTCATTTCTCTTAGCTTCGACAACAGGACAAGAATGAGCTCCTCGCCCTTCTAGCAACTCGTCCCACTTAAGGATGGCTCAGAGAAGGTAAGGAGAACCCCTTTCAACAGCTGACACACACACACACACACACACACACACACACACACACACACACACACACACACACACACACACACACACACACACACACACACACACACACACACACACACACACACACACACACACACACACACACACACACACACACACACACACACACACACACGTGTCACACACACACACACACACACACACACACACACACACACACGTGTCACACACACACACACACACACACACACGTGTCACACACACACACACACGTGTCACACACACACACGTGTCTCACACACACACACACACACACACGTGTCTCACACACAAACACACACGTCACACACACACACACACACACACACACACACACACACACACACAAACACACACACACGTGTCTCACACACAAACACACACGTCTCACACACACACACACACACACACGCACACACACACACACACACACACACACACACACACACACGTCACACACACACACACACACACACACACACGTGTCACACACACACACACACACACACACACGTGTCACACACACACACACACACACGTGTCACACACACACACGTGTCACACACACACACACACACACGTGTCACACACACACACACGTGTCTCACACACACACACACACACACACAAACACACACACACGTGTCTCACACACAAACACACACGTCACACACACACACACACACACACACACACACACACACACACACACACACACACACGTCACAAACTTATTGGAACACTCTCCACAATGCTTTGACATTCCTCCGTAGGAATCCGAGTGCCTCAGCACTAACTGGAAGCAGATGGGAAAGTTTAGCCGTGCGCCTTGTTTCAGCAACTCGTGTGGAAGAATATGGAGAGAAGGCAGTTGCTGTGATCTGTGTGGTGCTGTGCAGCTGCTCCGGTTGACTGTGGTGACAGTCGTTATCGCTACATGGAGTGTGATCCCTTAAGTTTACACTAGATCATGTTCTTGTTTGAAGGGGAGTCCACTGCCATGCCAGTAGCGTCGGACCACCAAAGGCTTGATTTTTTTGTTGATGTTTCAGAAGGAAATTTCTCATGGTCTACCATTGAGATTTCTGGAATTCCTGCAAATAATTTAAAATGTTGTCCAAAATATCACCTAAAGTTGCTTTGCCGATCTGTTTTCTCACGTACTGTCTTGATAGAATCTAATCTAATCTCTAATCTAAGTGAAATTGTGTGTTTTGGAAAGAATCAAATGGGCAACTTCCACATTTCCACAGTGCCAAAGCAGCTCTTCAGGCTATTTGTAGCCCAAATAACATACTGTAAAATAAATACCGGCTTTGCTTTCCTTAACCCATTATAAACACCGTACAGTGAATCTGACTCACCAACAGCTTTTTTAACCTCGGCAGTATTTCATGCCTGATTGCTGTTTACTGTAGCGAGCAGGGATGTGTATTTTTGAAATTCTGACGTTACAAGCAATTTTTTTACTGAATTTATTGTAAGAATGTTCAATAAACAGTCCAAACTGATACGTAACATGTTTAACATGAGGTATCTGAACCATGATGGAGGGATTTACATTTCAATGGTGGAAACAAAACCCGTTGCACACTGCTGCCAACTAGCGGGTGGCGATTGAATTGCACAAAATGAAAAGAAAATACACAAAAGTTTGCATGTAAATTCTTTCAAGAATTAGATACACGGCTTTTGAATATCGATGTAATAATCGCAGGAAAAAATATCACGATATATTGCCATATCGATATTTTCTTACATCCCTAGTAACGAGTGTGATGTCACAGGAGTCTGCAGGAATCCACTTTGCTGGCTGAGGTGCTGCAAAAACAATTTGATGGCTTGGTGTGACGTTCAGAGAGCAGAAGCCCATTTTAAATCGAGCAAAATGTCTCTTGCTCTCATCTATTGAGTAACCTCACGGTGCTTGTTATTGTTCTCCCTCCTGCATGCCTGCCATAGCTGCTGTCTAACCATGCAGAGGCTGAGAGAGGCCGGCCATTTTCAGACTCCAGTCAACCTTTTTACCGTATGAATAGTGAATGAACCCTTTTCTGTTTGATAATGTCTGATAGTGTTTGTGATGTTTTCCTTCATCCCCAGGTTCGTACGTGTCCTTTATCTTCCTGTGGGTGTGGTTGCACCCGTGAGCAGTCAGAACCTTTAGCTTCACATGACATGATTTAACCCATGTGATCTGGTCACCATGATGGCCTCTGTGGTTGCCAATGGAAACCAAGATGGTCAGTCGCTGGTGTTGAATGGGGTGGACCCAGAGACCTGCATGATCGTGTTCAAAAACCACTGGGCTCAGGTAAAGACCAGCAGCATGCACACATCCCTACATCTCTGAGACGTTTATTAACTCATTCACTGCCAGCCGTTTCCTGATCAGAAAAGCCTTTCGCTGCCAGTGTTTTTCAGCATTTTCACAGTTTTTTCAAGAGTCACATAACGTTGCGTGCTAGGATGATGTCAAAGCGTAGACTCGCCTCTTACATCAGGAAGAATCCGCAGGTTTCGAGCGTTATCCGTTCTTTCATAATCCGTTGTTGAATTGTGATCGGCAGAAGCTTTTTTGGTTCGTGCCTCACTTTTTTTTTACAGCAGCGGCCCAAAACGATCTCCTAACACATGGATTTTCTGCTTCCTGATCACGTGATGTGTGACGTACGCGAATGAAGATCGGCTTTAGAGCTGAGATGTTTGTTCTCACGGTGCGGGGGCTCGTTCCGATGCTCACACCGTAAAAAAGTGTAAATGATGACTTTAGTCATCATTGGCAATGAATGAGTTGATGCAAGTATCACTGAATGGGTTTCAATGACATCACTAGAAAGTAATCATGGGATGCCCGTCGACAGCTGAGTAGCTTTTTGAGTCAACCCAGTTCACATTACACAGACAGTAAAATCCTGAGATGAACACAGCTGGATGTTCATGCAGCTCCATCCCTTCTGACAATCTGAAAGTTGCACACTGTTATTGTTACAGCTCTAAAGACGATCTTATCAGATAATCCTACCTTATGTGGTGTGATAAGAGTGCTCTGGTATGCTCAGAATCACGTTGGGACCGGTCTGCTTTTCTGAAAAAAAAAACAAACGTACTCCCTGTTAAATGTGACATGCAGCCAATCAGAAAGCAAGGTGATGGAAACACGCAGCATGCTCCTCCTCGACCATTGTTTGCTTCAAAGTCATGTTTTGTTTTTGCGTGATATTTCCTGCCTGGGTGGGGAATGTCTGAGTGAAAGTGGTCCGTGTGCAGTATTTGCCAAGTTGCTGCTCTACACACTCCCACTAAAACTGCTTTATTTTTGTTTTATCACCATACGCGTGTGGTCTCTTGTGCTTTAAAAATCAGCTATTTAAAACTGAACCGGGCTTCGGTAGCCATCCCCAAGTCACACCTGGAACCATGTGATCTTTGCTTGAAAGAGACAAACTTTATCTGCATTTTAGCAAAATATCTAATAAACCATTGGGAGGATTTTTAATTTTCATTACATGATTATTTAAAAAAATATCTAAGGTTGTTTGCAGCATTTTCAGATCTAGCTGTAGCACTTCAACTAAGAATTTCATAATATTCTGTTAGTATAAAAGCTTCTAGATTACTCTCACTAAGTTGAATTGCTATCTTATGTATTTTACATCAACTTAAGGGTTCAGACTGGAGCAGGATCATTTCCAAGCGACCGTATGAAGCAGCATAAACAAATGCAAAGAGTACACGTTGTTCTGAAACATTCTGCTGAACTTCTGCCTGGAGTCCTGAAACCGACTCCTGCACGCTGCTGTGTGGTGAGGTTCAGTGGAATCTTGGCAGCATGAAGCCATCTGTCTCAGACTCTTGGCTTTCCACAGCAGCGTATGTCCCTATTCACCCTGTAAGACCTGGAAGCCTGCTATTCTTACTTCTCCCACAACGTGAGAAGATTTGGCTCTGCGGGTCGGTGTGGCCATGCTCTTTTATCGCCTCAGAGGGCCTACCACTGGCCCAAACACATTTAGGTACAGCCAATCACAGCGCTTTATGTTTGTAAAGAGACTTTTGGCAGGTTTAGCACCAGAGCTGCAACAGAGAAAAACTACAAAGATGGTGTCGGTTCAGCTGAAACAGCTTTGGATTGACTTGGGCTTTTGTTTGAGACATGAACAGATAGAGGTACTTAAGTCTTTTATTTTGAAAAGGATGCATTCACTCCTTATTTGGCGATTTATGACGGACTGCCCCATTGACTGATTTCCAAAGCTATAAATATGTCACACTGTTGCTTTGAATGGTCCTAGCGCTGTCCATTTGCATGCCGGAGTTCTGTCTATGGGTCGAGCCAAACTACAGTATACTACCTCTACTAATCTCAAGTTTAGTGAATCAAATCCATCTTAACTATGTTTTATGTTTTACTTTGGTCTGAGCTTTGAAAACATGTAACCGTGTCCTTCCTGGATTGAGATTGTCATGACTCGAGGTATGTGTTTAACCCAAGACATGCAGAAATCTGACTCGTAGAACCGGCTGAATTAAAGTAAAGTCTTTATTATAAAAGAGAACAAAAAGAGCACGGGGAAGTCCCGTGGGGTAGATCGATAGCTCGAGTTCATTCAGAGTTCAGGGAGAACGAGGGGGGAGAAGGCGAGAGAGCCGAGGTGAGCTCTGATGATTCCAGGGGTGATCCGGAACTGGTGAGGCAGCGGATTGGGTCCAAACAGGAACGGCGGAGGAGGATGAGACGTGGTGTGAATAGTCCAGGGTTTAAACAGCTAAGGTGCGGTAGGTAATGAGATCCTGGGAGAGGGGAAACAACACCAAAGTTAGGAAAATCCAAAGAGCAGTCCAAAATCAGTCCGAGTTCAAAGTCCAATAAATCTAGAAAACGAATGTCAAAAACAGGTTACAAGAGCGCGAGCGAGTGGCTGGGGCTACCTATACTGGTGCAATCATCCGGGGGTAGTGAAGTGTCTCCATCCTCCTTTTATACCCTGATTGAGAAACTTCTGCAGCTGCAACCCCTCCGCTCCTCACCTGTGGAAAATCAGCCTGATAGTGGTGAGATGGATGTTGTCACTCACCTCGGCTCAGGAACATGACAGAGATACAGCTTTGTATTCATGTTCCGGGTCTGCAGCTGTCCACGCTTGGGTCACCACAAACCTGTTCCCTCCTTTCTGCAACATGTGTGTCTCCTGGCTCATCCCATTGATGGTCAACATGTCATTCAGGTATCACTCCGTTTATTCAATGGAAATGATACTGGATGATTAAGAAAAGTCCTACGTCTTTCACTCTGAAAGTCTGAGTTACATTATTTCAGAGCTGCAGAAGCAGTCAGGACCTGAAGCTCAGCAACTGGACTCTGCTGTCATGCGATCACCCTCCCACACCACACTCTGTTGTGCCAACACCCTTAATGTGTTCATCTGTAAAACTTGCCAGGGGACTGAACAGGAGAACTTTGACCCACTTAAAGCCATTTAATCAGTGACATTTAGTAACTTTCTGTATTTTCCATGAGAATTAATACAAATGCAGTCAGACAACTTGTTAATTAAGTCTGCTTCAAACTAAAATTAATAAAACAAGCTAAAATACACGAGATAACATCATTATGAACATGTTTAATGTAGGCCGGTGACATTCCACTACTGGAGATAAAGGATTTCTTTTATTTTAGTAATTCCACTAAGGAGCAGAGAACTAATGATATGAACCTCCTAACAGGAGTATGACGGATCCAGCCTGAAACCCAGAGCCAAGCGGGTCGGAGCCCAGACATCAGGGCCAGGCTGGGATTACAAACTCTGTTCTCCAGTTTCCATTAGCCATGCCCTGTTCCCTCATACACAACCAGTTATTGTCATGGCAGCAGCGTCAGGCTGGGGACACTGGGTCCATTATCATGACACTGGTTTCTACACAGTCTAGGCACACGGGAGGGATCGAAAACACAAACGACCGTTTCATTCTGCGCCTCCTGGCGGAGTTTATTCGTCCTCTGGTGGTCCATTTACACCAAACATCTGCTGCCATCAGAGAGGATTTCATCTGTTTAAGTCTGTCTAACCCTAACCCTAACCCTGTCTGCATGTTTTTAGAAAAACCGCAAGTTAAACTAACTCATGAAAACAGAAAATGTGGGCTTGTAATAGCAGTTGTGTATCCGTGGTGATTTACTATCAATGTTTTGTGCCCCTTATTTTGAGACCAAAATTCTAACTAAATTATTACCAAGCTTTATGCTCAGATAGTCAAAACACATCAAGTTAAGGTAAAAAAAACAATCTGTTTCTTTCCTTTAATGGAAAACCGAAAACATGATGAACTTTAAAACCAGTAACAGAAATGTTATTTCATCATTCGGGTGCCTTGCAGGTCATTGTTGTGTTGCTTATGAATTTTTTGCCAGACTTTAACCACAATTCCCAGTTGGACCAAGTCTGCACCAGTCTACACTAGCTGGAGACCGTCATCCTGGTCAGTCAGCAAATAAAACAAAAAGCCATCTGCTAACGTGAGAGGGGAACGGCCCTGACCTCACTTCAGTCATGTATACACATTAAATGAAACACTTTTGAATCTCTGGAGCCAGTTTGACCCTCGGGTAGGATGAACTAGTTACAGATCCATCTACGAACTGGTGTCGGTGACAGCCAATAAAAAGGAGGGACTGGAATGCAGCAAATAGCATCACGGTGGCAGGAAGTAATGGGAATACCAAAACAATAATGGCAAACAGCAAGAAACGGAGAGCTGTCACCTGCAGTGGCGCCCCCAGGGGATGGCCTGGGGAGGCCATGGCCAGCCCTGGAAAGTCATTGGCCAACCCACAGGGAAGACCACTCCCTTTAAAAAACAAATTCATCTAATCAAGACATGAATGTGAACGCAGATAAATAAATTTATTTGATTAACATTTTAATCAATAATTTATGTAATAAATAGCAATTTCAGTATCTATATCAATGAGGCTCACAGTTTAAAAAAGTAACTTTTAAAATTCTTAAACACAAACATTTCAAACAACTGAAATGTTTGTGTTTCTCTAATTTGAAGCAAATGTGATGATGCATGATGTGTGCAAGGAAAGAGAATGACGGAGCAATGCAACACACAGCTACGGGCTAACCTCTCCCAGAGTCCCAGGGACCAAATTGATGCACCACCCTAACATTTTCACCGGCCCCCTTTTCAAAGATTTCTGGGGGTGCCACTGCTCACTTTACTTACTTTGACTAATATTACAGTAACCCCCACTAAATAACTACTGTGATCTTGTTTGCACCAGAGAAGTAAAAGTGGCTGCAGTTATTCCTGACCCAGACTCCTTAGACCAAGCCCAGTGCTAGCATCTGTGACTAGATTTTACAATGTGCATAGCTTTGCTGATACCTCTGAATGACAGAAGGGACGATCTGACTTGATTTAGTGTTTCTGCTGCAGGTTTTCCTCATTTTTACTTTTGTTGTTTCTGGTCATCTACAGGTTGTGAAGATCCTCGAGAAGCACGATCCTCTGCGCAGCAGCTCTATGCACCCCACCCTGAGTGTCATCAACCTCGGCGTTGGCTCTGGCGGCGTGCATCGCTTCGGACCGATCCCCGGTGATGAGGCGAGTGCCGTGCAGAACTATGTGGAGCACATGCTTTTTCTGCTGATGGAGGAGGAAAGTGGTCAGGGTGGGTGCATGGGACCCATCCTGGAGTTCGTGGTGATGGAGAACGTGATGGAGCGTCTCTTTGTGTGGAGCCTGAGGAGGGAGTTCACCGACGAAATGAAACTGGAGCAGCTGAAGATGTACGAGATGCTGGTGGGCCAGGCACGCCAGCCCCTGCTGCATCACAAGCCCATCCTGCGGCCACTCATGATGCTGCTGTCCTCCTGCTCGGGCACCGCGGCGCCCGCGGTGGAAGCTGAGCTGGTGCTGCTGCTCAACCAGCTCTGCTGCATCCTGGCAAAGGACCCTTCCATTCTGGAGCTGTTTTTCCACACCAGTGAAGATCAGGGAGCTACAAACTTCCTCATCTTCTCCCTCCTCATTCCGTACATTCACAGGGAGGGCACGGTGGGCCAGCAGGCAAGAGACGCCCTGCTGCTAATCATGTCACTGTCTGCTGAGAATGAGCGAGTGGCCAGACACGTCGTAGAGAACACCTACTTTTGCCCGGTGAGAACAAACTTTTACTTTCATTCCTTTTTTTCATAATCCAATTTATGCATCAGAAATAAACGAATCTCTCAGAGTCAGCATCATTTTTCTCTAAAACCAGCGTAAGCTTGGGTGTCATCATTAGAGCAGATTTACTGAAAATAAACAAAAAGGTTGAAACAGAATCTGGCAGTGAACGCTACAAACAGCTGTCATTTGCAGGCTTACAGCCCGGCTGCAAGCTGATCCGATGTAAATGACGTCTTTATCCGCAGCTGCAGGGAGAGCAGGGGAAACTGGTTTTGATGCCACACCAGTGTGAACAACACAAGTATGAATTTTCTGGTTCAAAAGGCGACCACACGGAGACTACAGGGGGATAATCTCAGTGCAGATTTATATTTACCACAACACTAATGATGCTCTCATCTGACAGGTAAATAGCCCAGAGCTACAAAAGGCTCTGTTATTTGAAATCCTGCATTGTGAAAAGCAAGAAAAGATTGTATATTGTGAGACTGAATTAGTGAGTGCTTAAATGATGGTGCAGTCACGGTGCCAGGAGTCTTTTCTTTGTAAATATTTTAGTTTGCAGACATACTGACAACGATGTTAAATGCAGATAAAAACACACCTTTTGTGCAAGAATGGGAGGATTCATGCTCACGATGCTGACAGCTTCTGGTGTCTTTAATATGTGTGGAAAAATATCATAGTGCACGTGTTTGAGGGGAAACACCAGATCTATTTTTTATATAATCTAAACAATATGGCCTGAAAGCAGAGCCAGATTAAATAAATGGACTACACTAGGCAGGCTGCATTTTTAGCCCCCCCCCCCCCCCCATCGATGTTATTTAATGAAGTGAAATCTGAAACTTACCAAATTTACTTATAAAAGTTCATTCACATTTTACGTAGCCTAGTCTTTGGTTACAAATTGGTTGTTTTTATGCCAGAATAAGTCATGTGTTGTATGTTAAACATTCTATCAGACAATTTTTTAATATTAACAATTTATACGTCATTACACAGCTGCATTAAATGCTGATAAATTATCCTCATCTTATCGATTGGGAGTGTCATTGTCAAGGCGGTACCAGTAAATAACCACTAGGTGTCATAAACAGAGCAAATATGTGTCTCTTATTTGCTCTGTTTATATTTAATCAACATATTTAATTAAAAAGATTTTCTGCAAAATACAATAGCTTACTACATTTATAAATGTTGACAAATTAATCACATGATTAATTCAAGAAGAAATAGATTAATTTGAATGGACTGAAGCATGTTTTAAAGGCGCAAATACAAACTATAACCACACAGCTTAAATTATTACAGTATAAATTTGATACAATCTATAATCTTAAAAGAAAGTATTTTAATAAAATGAAAACATTATCTTAAGTTTTGATCTTGCTTTATGCTCATTCAGGCTGTTATTGCCTCTGCTGAATCAGAAATTCTGTGTCAGTTTTCTGAGTGTGAACTTATTGTTAGTTTTGTTATTTGAACATTAATAAAAATATTTAAAAATAAAAATGTATAAAACCAGCAACACTTACCAAGGAAACCATTTAGCATTCTCCACTCCGGGATAATCTTCAGCCTTCCAGCATCACAGGGCCTCAGTCACAGCAGAAACACATCTAAAGAAATGTTCCTTGGTTAAGCTTCGGTTTATGTCTCCAGATTTCCTCTGTGATGCCGAAGAATATCCAATATTTTGAGAGGGATGGTTTAGTGCAAAGTACTCAGGCATCCTGTCATCAGTTTGGTACCACTGCAGGATCAGATGGGTAGCTAGTTGTTAACACCCTTTCTGGGTCTAGAGGCTCCTGTAAGGCTATATTGGGCTCACCTCTGGCTGGCTGCTGTTCTTCCAGTTCGTCCTTCTGTGACGGCGTTGATGTTGACGGTGTTGGCGCTACAGCATCTTCTGCCACATTTCCCGCCGCATCTTCCACCGCGTCTTCGGGTTGTGTCTCTTCCAGGTCTGACTTGGGCCCGGCCTCTGTCTCTGCTGACTCGAGCAGGTTCACAGCTGTCGGACGGCTGCCCGAGCAGCCCGACAGAAACTTCTGTAAAGCCCCCCACCCCCCCCACCCCCCCACCCCCCCCGCGGTCTCTTCTTTTGTTCCTCTTCATTTTTTTTTTACGTTTTGCCGCACCCGAAAGCATCGTGAAAGTTAGCCTACTCAAAAACACCTGCTAGCTTTGTTGAGTCCCACTCTGACTCTGACCTCTTCTCTGACGTCTTGATTGGGTGGCGCCTTAATGTGACGTAGCCAATGAAACGGTCTATGGTCAAGATAAACATTGTCACTATTTTTGTTAATTAATAAATATTGAAACAAATTGTAGATAGGAGTCCTATCTACAAATTCTATCATAGGACATTTGTACATTAAATTTTTATTTTATTTATTTTTTATTGTGTCCCTCTGTCTGGGCCCCATCCAGCCGATCAGGCCCTAGGCACGTGCCTACTTTGCCTTTGCGTTAATCTGGCTCTGCCTGAAAGTGACAGAAAATAAACAGAAGATATCATACAAAAAGCCCAGAGCACCTGCTGCTGTGTGAAGTTAAATTTAACATTTGGTTCCTGTTAAAGGCTAAAAAATAATTAACAATAATCATTTAAATAATAATTTTGATTGAATTATTTACTACATTATTTTGGTGAAATATTGTGACTGAAATTGCTGAACATAAATTACTGAGGTTGTAGGGATCCGGTCACAAATTAGTACAATGTAAAGAAAAGTAATTGCACTTGTCCTGAAATAGGCTCCTTGTGTTTTTTTTCTGTCTCATTTTATCCTCAGGTGCTGGCCACAGGGTTGAGTGGCCTTTACTCGTCTCTTCCCACCAAGCTGGAGGTTCCTAATGAAGAGTGGCACTGCCTTCACAAAGTTGACTGGATGCGGATGCCGTCGCTCGTCCAGTTCCTGAACTCACTGGAGTTCTGCAACGCTGTAATTCAGGTGCCTGCCATTGGCCTGAGCAGTATTGTGTTACACCAATCACAGCGCCTTATCAGTATGGTGGGCTCATGTGAAACAGCTTTGGACTATTTAGACTCGGGCTTTTCTTTGAGTCGAGAGCAGATAGAGGTACTTAAATTCTTTATTTAGAAAAAGGATCGATAAGGGTAGAACGCCTCCTCCGGGTCAGGGATGAGGTCCTGCCTCAAGTGGAGGAGTTTAAGTATCTCGGGGTCTTGTTCATGAGTGAGGGAAAGATGGAGCGCGAGACAGTTAGGCGGATTGGTGCTGCATCTGCAGTGATGCGGGCGTTGTACCGGTCTGTTGTGGTGAAGAGAGAGCTGAGCCAGAAGGCAAAACTCTCGATTTACCGGTCGATCTACGTTCCTACCCTCACCTATGGTCATGAGCTTTGGTAGTGACCGAAAGAACGAGATCATAGATACAAGCGGCTGAAATGAGTTTTCTCCACAGAGTGGCTGGGCTTAGAGATAGGGTGAGAAGCTCGGCCATCTGGGAGGGGCTCAGAGTAGACCCGCTGCTCCTCCACATCGAGAGGAGCCAGTTGAGGTGGCTTGGGCATCTGGTTAGGATGCCTCCCGGACGCCTCCCTGGTGAGGTTTTCTGGGCACGTCCAACTGGGAGAAGACCTAAAGGTAGACCCAGGACACGCTGGAGGGATTGTCTCACAGCTGGCCTGGGAACGCTTTAGAATTCCTTGGAGGAGCTGGTCCAAGTGGCTGGACAGACGGAAGTCTGCGCCTCCCTGCTTAGACTACTGCCCCCGCGACCCGACCCCAGATAAGTGACAGAAAATGGATGAATGGATGGATTAGTGTCATCTTCGACGGTGTATGCGGACTGCCCTGTTGACTGACATCCATGGCAATGAGTACTTTAAGTTGTTCGTTGTCCAGTAGCATCTGTTTGAAAGACAACCATAGATGCCATCCTCCGACTGAGCTCTCCCTATCGCTCGTGGCCAGATTATACAGGTTCAGGTCATAAAATTAGAATTTCATAACAAAGTTGATTTATTTCAGTAATTCCGTTCCAAAAGTGAAACTTGTATATTAGATGCATTCATTACACACTGACATATATCTCAAATGTTAATTTTGTTCATTTTGATGATTATAATTGAAAACTAATGAAAATCCCCAAATTCAGTATCTCAGAATATTAGAATATTGTAAAAAGGTTCGATATTGAAGACTCCTGGTGCCACACACTAATCAGCTAAGTCAAAACACCTGCAAAATCCTTTAAATGGTCTCTCAGTCTAGTTCTGTAGGCTGCACAATCTTGGGGAAGACTGTTGACCTTACAATTGTCCAAAAAAACGACCATTGACACCTTACACAAGGAGGACAAGACACAAAAGGCCATTGCTGAAGAGGATGGCTGTTCACAGAGCTCTATGTCTAAGCACATCAATAGAGAGGTGAAGGGAAAGACACGGTGTGGTAGAAAAAAGTGTAAAAGCAGCGGAGATAACCGCACCCTGGAGAGGATTGTGAAACAAAACCCATTCATGGGGGAGATTCACAAAGAGTGGACTGCAGCTGGAGTCAGTGCATATACAGGTGCTGGCCAGTAAATTAGAATATCATCAAAAGGTTGAAAATATTTCAGTAATTCCATTCAAAACGTGAAACTTGTACATTATATTCATGCAATGCACACAGACCAATGTATTTCCAATGTTTATTACGTTTAATTTTGATATTTATAGGTGACAACCAATGAAAACATCAAATCTGGTATCTCAGAAAATTAGAATATTCTAAAGGCCAATGAAAAAATGTTTGTTTCTCTAATGTTGGCCAACTGAAAAGAATGAACATGAAAAGAATGTGCATGTATAGCACTCAATACTTAGTCGGGGCTCCTTTTGCCTCAATAACTGCAGTAATGCGGCGTGGCATGGACTCGATCAGTCTGTGGCACTGCTCAGGTGTTATGAGAGCCCAGGTTGCTCTGATAGTCGTCTTCAGCTCCTCTGCATTGTTGGGTCTAGCGTATTGCATCCTCCGCTTCACAATACCCCATAGATTTTCTATGGGGTTAAGGTCAGGCGAGTTTGCGGGCCAATCAAGGACAGGGATACCATGGTCCTTGAACCAGGTGCTGGTGGTTTTGGCACTGTGTGCAGGTGCCAAGTCCTGTTGAAAGGTGAAGTCTGCATCCCCATAAAGTTGGTCAGCAGCAGGAAGCATGAAGTGCTCTAAAACTTCCTGGTAGACGGCTGCATTGACCCTGGACCTCAGGAAACAGAGTGGGCCAACACCGGCAGATGACATGGCACCCCACACCATCACTGACGGTGGAAACTTTACACTGGACCTCATGCAACGTGGATTCTGTGCTTCTCCGCTCTTCCTCCAGACTCTGGGTCCTTGATTTCCAAAGGAAATGCAGAACTTGCTTTCATCAGAAAACATAACTTTGGACCACTCAGCATCAGTCCAGTCCTTTTTGTCCTTGGCCCAGGCGAGACGCTTCTTGCGCTGTTTCTTGTTCAAGAGTGGCTTGACACACGGAATGCGACACCTGAATCCCATGTCTTTCATGAGTCTCCTCGTGGTGGTCCTTGAAGCGCTGACTCCAGCTGCAGTCCACTCTTTGTGGATCTCCCCCACATTTTTGAATGGGTTTGTCGTCACAATTCTCTGCAGGGTGCGGTTATCCCTAGAGCTTGTACACTTTTTTCTACCACATTTTTTCCGTCCCTTCGCCTGTCTGTTAATGTGCTTGGACACAGAGCTCTGCGAACAGCCAGCTTCTTTAGCAATCACCTTTTGTGTCTTGCCCTCCTTGTGCAAGGTGTCAATGATTGTCTTTTGGACAGCTGTTAAGTCAGAAGTCTTCCCCATGATTGTGGTGCCTTCAAAACAAGACTGAGGGACCTTTTAAAGGCCTTTGCAGGTGTTTTGAGTAAATCAGCTGATTAGAGTGGCAGCAGGTGTCTTCTATATTCAGCCTTTTCAGAATATTCTAATTTTTTGAGATACCAAATTTGGAGTTTTCATTAGTTGTCACTTATGAATATCAAATTTAAATGTAATGAACATTGGAAATACATTGGTCTGTGTGCATTGCATGAATATAATGTACAAGTTTCACGTTTTGAATGGAATTACTGAAATATTTTCAACCTTTTGATGATATTCTAATTTACTGGCCAGCACCTGTATATAGGATGGCTTGCCAGGCTAGGTTAGCACCTTTTATTTACACCCTGCTCTTAGAGCACTGGGTTTGACCTCATGACTCTGTCTGGTCTTCACTGACCCGTCTGCCCCTCATGCTGACTGTTGCCAGGTGGCTCATCCTTCCATCAAGGACCAGCTGGTGGCTTACATCTATAATGGTTTCCTTGTGCCGGTCCTAGCGCCAGCCCTGCACAAGGTTGGACTCGTCTTCTTCTTCTTTTCTTTTATGTCACAAAGAATACACACTGCATGAGGAATTCTTAAAAAAGTACCTGACAAATAACTTGAAATTGTGACTTTTTTTTGAACATCAAATTTTAACCAACTTGTTCTTTAGATTCAAAATTCATCTTCATTCGTTTGTTTGGTTCATTGATAAAACAGCCTTGTATTCATTATCTATGCTGAGCTGACATAAAATTAGATAACAAAGGAACTAAAAAGCTCACACATCACTTTCATGATGGCTGACTCTTGTGTGTCTGTGAAGCTCACGTTAGAGGAAGTGATGACCACCACGGCGTACCTCGACCTCTTCTTGAGGAGTATATCTGAGACGTCTCTGCTGCAAACCTTCCTCTCCTTTATTCTCCTCCATCAACACGAGAGCGTCTATATTTTGGACACACTGGTCAGCCGTATCAACACACCTTTCCAGGTAACAATGAACTCAGCAGGGTGCTAATAACACAGCCTTGTCTTAGAAATACAATCCTGATGCTGAGTCAGCATTACTCATGATTACTAAGCGAGGACAGTGTTTTAGATTTCAAACAGTCTCCAGGAGACCTTGAAATTAAAGTTAAAATTTAAATATACGAATCAAAGCATGGAGATTTGCTGTAATGATGATGATTATTTAAAGGTGCAAGAAGTAAGAATTTTACAGTGAAATCATCACAAAAGAGTCTTATGTCTCTATCGTGTTGGAAGGAAGGTTATATTGAAACAGATTTCCTTCTCAGCCGGCTGGAGGGTTGTCAGTTTTCTGCTTTCAAAAATGGCCAAAAAGGGACGTTGTCTTTGTTTAGAATCTGTGAGCCCGCGCGGTCGCTGAGTCTGTGTTTGTATTTTGACACCAGCTGGCGAAATGCGGCAGCATTTTGTTAAGAACCAAAGCCAGTAACAAGAGCGACCCAGAAGTTATGACTTGTACCCCTAAGAAGGCACGGCATCCTTTTGTTTTAATCTAAAAATGAGGTAAAGAAAGCTAGAGGCTAACACTGAGCTAACACTGCTAACAGTGAATTATAAATAAACTGCTCTAAAAATATCTCAAGCTACTTTTTCATTTACCAACAACTCGATATTACAGTGAAATGTTTTTATCTACTTAATGTGTGTGACTCACCTTCACGTGTCAACTAGTGTCTTGTGGAGCTGATCAAAATGGCAACAGCCATTAAAGTCACAGAACAGATGTGAGAAAGTCTCTTATGTCTGGAAAACGGGCTGCAGTAACCAAATTCGGCCACAGGGTGTTATTCTAAGGGCCGTGATACACGTGCTGTTTAATGACGCAAATGCGTGTTTAAAATGGCTTCAAGCGTTAGTTGCGTTGATTTGAAGCCTCATTTGTGTGCGTCCCCTGAAATTACAGTTTTTTTTCGATTGCTAAAACTCAAAAAGCAAAACTGAGGCACAATTTTCACAACCTCTACTTCTGTTCCCAATCACTTGACTCAGTTTATCACTACTTAAGATTTTCTTATCATATTAGAACTCTGATTTTCCTCCTTTAAACTCTGATGTCAGTTTCACATTACCTTGCTGTCAAAACACAGCACACAATTTTCAGGTTTACACACACTTTCCACATAAATTCTCAAAGCTTCAATCAACAACACACAAATATTCAAATCTCTAAACTTTCAGGTCTGGCGAGCAATTTGCAGTCAGGGACTGCATTATAAAAGTAAGTTTCCACAAGGCTACCCAGGTGTATGAGTGGTTTCAGGACCACCCACTGCTTTCCATTTTATACCTTCCACCTTATTCCCCCTCCCTCAATCCCACTGAGGAGTTTTTCTCAGCCTGGAGGTGGAAGGTGTACGAAAGGAATCCACAGAGCCAGGTCCCACTGCTTCAAGCCATGGAGGAGGCTTGTAGAGATGTGGCCTTTGAGGCCTGTCAGGGCTTCATGAGGCACTCGAGGCGGTACTTGCAGCGCTGTTTGGACCAGGAGGATGTTGATGAGGCCCTCTGGCCAGACAGAGACCGGAGGCATGATGCCCATGATTATGCTTCTGGGGGATGTGTGATGTGTGATGTCTAATGTTTGTCTCAGAGAAAAGTGGGCACTGTCATACATTCAGTGTGTAATTCATTGTGTTCCCTTTCGACAACTGTGTTTTCAGTTTTGCTCTTCAGTGTTCTTTCCATGCTTGGTAGTGTTCACCCAAAGGCTACTTGTGTTTAAGCAATGAATGGTATGTGTGTGTCATGTGAAAGTGTGGCTGTGTTTACCAAATGAAAACACGCGTTCCATTTTGGGAACATGTTACGATATGTGGTGGCGGGGTTTTGTTGCAAAGGGAAGCCACGGTTTGGGAATTTGTGTGTGATGTTTGGGGTTTTGTGTGTGCAGTTTTGAAAAACGCGTTTTAGCAATCAAAAGAACTGTAATACGACGTGTCCAAACGCAGCAATGTATGAGGACCCAGATGGCGGATTTGACAAAACAAGCGAGACAAACTCATGATGGCGACGTCTCTGGTTTGGAGGTCTTTCACACCATCTACGACACTGCTGCTGTCTTTTTTTCTGTCGTGAACTTAAAATGAACCAGTTACCGATTCCTTCTACAGACGCCATGTTTGTTTTGGTTGTTTCCACAAACCCTGCTCTCTGTTCGGTCCGAGTAGTGCGCTCCCTAGAGGAACACTCCAATACTACATGCAGTGCAGTGTCATGTAGTAGCAGGTATGTGAACAAAGATGCAGCCTGTGCCAACGCAACGTTAAACATCAAGTATATCACGGCCCTTACTCCATTCTTACATAATGCACCTTTAAATCAAAAATTTCAATTTGAATTAAAAATTTAACATATCAGTCTGGTTTAATTATCTATTTAATTATATGTATCTTCTAAAAACCAAGTTCACAGAGAAACTGTTTTTACTTGTTAATTTTCTAACATGATCACCCTGAGTCATGCAGGCTAAACATTAAAATAGCTACCAGTATTTCCTGCGTTAGCTGAAATAGAAAATAGAAAATGAACGAAGAAATGTTCGGGTCAGAAAAAAACCTACATAAATCTACATCACACTGTAAATTTTCATTCATGGACTCAACTATCATGGGTCATGAAAGGGAAGACTGTTGTTGATTTAGCGTCCAGGTGAGAGCAGAGTGCTTCTTGGCGTGTAGAAGCTAATCGTTAGCATTAGCAACTCCACCACATGGCAGAACTCCTTCAGGCTTGTTTTATTTGTAGACATGAAACATCCATGTTGCAAGTCAAGGGTAGAGTCTCAGCCAATCAGAAGCGAGATGGATTTCCTCCCTCTCTTCTGACCAACTTTTACTTCCTGAAAGAGGAGCATGAGAGATCTTCTCACCAGTGCAAATGTATTGAAATCATATTTTGCGATGTCTCATAACTCTCATTAGATGACATGTCCTTCTTTGTGTCTTCTCATGAAATATCCCAGTTGGGGACAGTCTCAATGGCCCTTTTTCGCACTCTCATTGGTTTCTACTGTGAAGATGTGATGCTGCAGCTCATACTGAGGTAAGTAGCACTCGTGCTGACTTACCCATTTATGAAGAAAGCACGACACGATGAGCTCTTTTTCTGCACCTCCTACTTTCATCATCTGTCTCCTCACTTCTCCTCCCATCATCCCCCTACTACCTCCCTCTGGTTCTACTGGTTCACCGTTCCATCTGCCTCTACAGGTACTTGATCCCCTGCAACCACATGATGTTGAGTCAGAGGCGTGTGGTGAGAGAGAGGGACTTCTATTCAACGTCAGCAGCCAAGATGCTGGCACTCACGCCATCCTGCTGCTCTCCTGATCACAGCCCCCCGCCGCTCCGACAGTTGGACTCCATCCTTTTTTCTAAGGGGGGTGCAGATACTCCCAACAGCTCCAGCACTGCAGGTAACTGAGATATGTAAAGAAAGCAGTCTTGTTTATTTTACTCACAGTTTTCCCACATCATTTCAATCGATTATGATGACAGCTGCAACAATATGGGAATGCTGATGCTTCTTCAAACAACGCAGTGATTTAGGAAGTTGTAAAAAAATGGCAAGGTACCCCAGAATTCAGGTAATGTAAGATGAGTTCCTTCACAAGCCTGTCTCAGACAGCTAAGGGACAAAATCAAAGCAACCATCACATGAGTTTGACCCCAACAACAACGAGATGTTGGTCTAAGATTGAATTTCACATTGAAATGCAAGATTTGTGTGTAAGCTTAAAGTTCTTTAATGAGTCTAAAAGGATGTTTTCAATGTTTTTGAAAGATTTTGGATTTTAAATACTATGACTGAAATCATTTCATCAGCCCTGCAGAAGTGCTGCGTTTTGTGGTGCAGACACACTTTGTGACCTCAAGGCACATTTGTTAAATTTCTAAAAAGTTTTTGTTTTTTTTACTTTTTACTGTTATGAATATAAACCCTCTTTAGCATATCTGCATTGCTTTTGTTTAAAGATTAACAGAAAAAAAGTTTTTTACCAGTTATTTTAAAAAACATGTTCGGTCCCACTGTGTTTCACATGCAGGCTAAATGTGAAAATAGTTTTCTACACCTATTTCCTGCATTCGCTTCTGATAGAAAAGACGGTAAAACACTCGGATTTGAAAATCCTGACAAGTGAAAACTAGCATTCATGGACTCACTCGTCTTGGCTCACGAGAGTGAGGCTGTTGTTGATGTAGGTTGTCCAGTAAAGAGAAGAACAAGTCTCGGCTAGTAGAAGCTAACCGTTAGCATTAGCAACAATATAGCTAAACTGCTTCAGGCTTGTGTTATTTGTTCCAGTACCTTGTAACCTAGTCTCTTCTGAACATTATAAGATGTTGATCTACATTGAATTGGGACTTGTGCTGTTTGGTATCAAATATTTCATTTATGTCTTAACCAGATGAACAGAAAAGCTTCTCCGAGGAGGATGACAGTTCTGGAAATTCCTGCACCATTGGCTCAGAAATCTACCTGGATGTGAGTTATCTTCATTACCTCTACGACGCCCGGCTCAGCATCAGCAGCTGCATACGGGCTTGTCAGGTTTGGTCAGCCCTGTACGACGCAGAGGACCCTCCTCCTGAGAAATACCAGCCAGGTGTCCTCGAGGAGCCGACGCTGGAGGGCCGACAAACCCAGACAGCTCTGAAGAGAGTCCCGAAGCTGCTGGTGTCAAACGCTCGGTCTGGTTTGCCACGGGGAGAGCCGCCCTCAATCCACCAGCTGGAGCTGGAGTGGGATGATAGTTACGATGCGTGTCCGGTGCAGACGACCGAGACTCCCGTAGAGGGCAAACCTGCACATCTGTCTCCATCTGAGCCTCCAAAACACATCCAGGAGATGAGGAGAACCGCCATCATGCTGGTGAAAGGCTCTTACATCGAGGAAAACGAGTTCCAAGATGACGTCATGGTGTACAATCTTGTTGCAAAGAAAGACAGCTCCGAGGCTGAGCACGCAGAGGAAACACAGTCCGATCCAGCACATGCCCCCCTAAGAAATGGGTTAACACTTCCCACCTCTTTGGTGTCTGATAATGACAAGAACAGCCTGAAAGCAAAGGCCAAAGGTCAGACGGATTGTAATGGAAACCTCCAAAACGCGACTCCCGTTGAGTCGGGCGAGGATTTTTTAGCTCAGTACGAGGAGCTGATTTGTATTTTGGACTCAGAAGGACGTGGGAAACGGGTCAAAGGTGATAGAGAGTTAAATAAACCCGTCTCACCTGTAGAGGAGGAGGAGGAGGAAGAGATGGACTTCATGTCCTTTACTGCTGAAACACCAGAACCAGAGAAACTGCAGTCCCCATTTGGGACAGTTCAGAGGCTTCGCAGTGGAAGTTCAAATCGATGTTATTCAGTTCCTTTTACAGGTGAGCCACGGGAACTCTCATCTTTTTACACGTATAACTATAAACATGCTGTCGTCCGGCCACTATTAAAGAAACCAGGGAGTGACCCTGAAATCTGTTCCACCTATAGGCCAATTTCCAACCTGCCTTCTTGTGCTAAAATGCTTGAGCGTGTTGTGTATCTGCAGCTTCGGGATTATCTTGCTCAAAATAATATTTTGGAACCATTTCAGTCTGGCTTCAGGGCCGGACACAGCACTGAAACGGCCCTCTTAAACATCTTAAATGATATATTTTTACAGGATAGGACTTTTTCTGTTTCCCTTGGTTCTTTTTCATCCAGAGATGCTGATCTTAGGTGGGGCTTCCCCAGGGCTCTGACTTGGGCCCCCTGCTGTTCTCACTCTGTCTGTTACCATTGGGAGTTTTCTTTTAAAAAAAAACACAACATTAGCCTCCATCTCTATGCTGATGATTGTGAACTTTATTTACCAATTCAGCAAGGGGCCAGGGGTAGCATATACTGTAGCAGCTGAATTGTTTACAGGATGTTAGTCAACGGATGGGGTCCAAGAATGAGGGCAAAACTGAAGTATTAGTTTTTACCCTGATTCCCGCTCCATGGATTCAACCTTTTATCGCTGCTCCCCTACGAGAAGTCTGTGATTACAGATTTGGGTGTTAAAATAGACTCTGCTCTACGATTTGATGTTCAGGTGAATTCTGTTGGTCGTTCGTGTTTCTACCAGCTGAGGTGCTTATCTAAGATTAAGTAGATCCTCACAAAACTGGAGTTGGAAACCGTCGCCAATGCTTTTATTATCTCAAGATTACATTATTGCAGCTCCCCATGTGCTGGCCTGAGGCAGTCCTTACTGACGCCGCTGCAGCTGGTCCAGAATGCTCTTGCCAGGTGTCTTTATGGAAAAAAGAAATGGGAGCATGTCACCCCCCCTCCTGACTGCTTTGGACTGGTTACCAGTGAAAGACTGATCCTGATCTTTGTCTTTAACTCTTTGTCTGGAACTGCCCCACCATATTTAGCCTCACTGCTGACCCGTTATGTCCCTGCAAGATCGTTACGTTCGGGTCAGAGTGACCTTCTGGTGGTTCCACAGTCGAAGCGTGTCCAGAGGTGATCGTGCCTTTTCAGCTCTGGGTCCTCAGCTTTGGAACCAGCTGCCATTAGATATAAACCAGTCCACATCGCTGTCCATTTTTAAAGCTAGGCTGAAGGATCATCTTAGGTCTAGTTCTTAGCTTTTGTACTCATGTTTTAATGTTCTGATCATTTGTGTTTTATGGCTTTTTTAAATCTTTTATTGCATTTTAAATGTTTGTTAGTTTGTTTGGGTCCCCTTGATTGGGGGTAGGAAGGGGCTTTATGAATAAAGTTGAATAAACACTCTTCCTCCTACAGGTCCCTTTATAAGTGTGCTGTTCTCTCGTTTGGAAAACATGCTTACCAACCCGCTTCACGTCAATCTGTTGCTGACCGGCATCCTGGCCCAGTTGGCCGCGTACCCCCAGCCCCTCCTTCGCTCATTTCTCCTCAACACCAACTTGGTTTTTCAGCCGACGGTTCGCTCTCTTTACCAGGTAACTGAAAAAAAGCCTTGCTTATGGAGTTCCACTTTCACATGTGATCCAGAAATGTAAGCTTTTGAGTCCAGTATTACAAAGAAGAATAAAACTGTTGGGTGGATTCATCTCCTCCAGGTGCTCGCTACAGTGAAGAGCCAGATAGAAGAGCTGAGTGCGAGCAGGCTGGACTTTCCAGAGAGGATCACTGCTGCGCAGCATTGGCTGTTAGCGAGGGAGGCTTCGTTCACAGCTACAGGTGATAACAACCGTCTCCGAGTCAAACTCCAATGTGAAATAGGATTCTCAGATAGAATTGGGAAAGGTTGGGAACCACTGCCGTAGGTCATTCTTCCTCTCTGCAGTAAGAGTGTATAACTCCTCAGTTTAAGCAGTACTGGCATTATCCTGTGTGTGTGTGAAAAGAGTCGAAAAGAGTAAGATGGCGCTTGCGCACGGTCACGCTGCGAGCTGCTCGTCCTCTTTACGCACTGGTACCTTGCTTTTTATTGGTTTTTATTGGCGTTTTATTGGCTTTTATGCACTTTTCTTGTCGCTGATCCCTTTTTTGAACGGTGTGGATCCTCTGCTGACATATGATCGAGCCGCGCTGCTGAGGCTTCGTCCTTCCGTTGATGTCGCTGGCAGCGCGCGCTGGGAACCGGGCTGTGCGAGCCATGAACCTCACGGACGATGCTGCTGGTTGAACTGCCCGCGTGCTCTCTCCACCCAAGCCGTGATGTGTCGGCCCTCTGTCCGCCCCAGCTCGAGAAGGAAGCATCGGAGAAGACGAGGAAAGAGAGGTAGCCGGCGTGTGAGACGTCGGCCTGGATCCCTGAACAAGCGGCTGGCCCGATCCGGCCCAGCTTCTGACCCGATGGTTCCGAGATGTCTCCTGGATTACTCGGCGCCCTGCTCAGGGAACTCGGCCGGTGTTGTGCCATAAATCGACTCACTGCCAAAAAATGATTAGCTTAGTTTTTTCCGGTTCGGAAGTTGTTTTAAGTGTTGCTATTTGTCTTAAACGTTCACAATGAGGATATATTAATCCTTTTTGCAATATTTGCGATTGAAAGATGGTTTGTGGTAAGAACTGGCTTTCTTTATGTTACAGCCTTGATACTAAAAAATAAATAAACAATGTAAAATGGCGCCCTGTATTGAATGTAAACGTTGTATAAATGTAAATACCGTAAATCCTCTAATACAGGCCCGGGCCTCTATTTGACTCAAGCTCAGCAAGCTCCAGGCCTTTATTGGAAGGAGGGCCAGTATTAGAGGCAGGCCTCTATTTCCATTTGAGCAAAATGAACTAATGTTCATTGGAGTTTTTGACAATTAAAATTGCGCCCACATTTTCAAAGTTAAACACATTTCTTTTAACAACAGTAGTTTCTGCTTCAGCCATCTCCCCCCTCCCCCTGCGCAGCGGCCACAAACTCACTGATGCGCCTGCAGCCTCTCGGAGTTCCTGCTGCTCTAAACATTAAAATAATTATTTCATTTTCTGTTCCTCACTTCTGATGACCTTCAATGGTGGCTGTTTGTTGCAACCACCAGGTACAAAAACTAACTTGTTTTTATTTGACTATTTTTCTGTCCTGTCTGTTTATTATCTTCCTGCATCTCCTCTCAATCCTAAAGAAAAACTGCTACCTGGGTTCATATATATTCACCTCATGAGTTACCTTTGAACTGCAGTTCTAAAAGATCTACCGACCGCAAAAACAGCGGAGTGCTCGCTGTTTGTCGGCCGTATCAGTGATCAGTGCGTCGGAGGACAAGGTGATGCGCGCAGCGCCCCGCTCCACAGCATGCAGCAAACGCATCAGGCAAATAAAAGACAGAAAACATTAAAGGAAATGAATTGACATGAACGATCGCGTGTTAAATTAGTTTTTGAGGTGGCGACACCTGATTGTTACTGTGGCTGTGCTCAGGAGGCAGATCTACCACCGCGAAAACAGCGGAGCGCTCCCTGCTTGCCGGCCGCATCAGTGATCTGTGCGTCGGAGGACAAGTTGATGCGCCCCGCTCCACAGCAGCGATACACATCAGGCGCAAATAAAAGACAGAAAACATTAAAGGAAATGAACCGACATGAACGATCGCGTGTCAGTGCCTACGGTCTGGCACAGCGCGTTGCCCCTCCCCCGAGCGCAGGAGCTTGTCACCTGCTGACAGCAGGCTGCTGTCTTTTCAGAGGGCTGCATCTTGCCGGTCATTATCACGTGACAGCGACTAGTCGACGACAGGCATAAAAAGTCACTATAGTGAAGTTGACTAGTTCATACAACCCCTACTGCTGCTCTCCAGAGTGTTCTGCAGCATAATCAGCACATTCTCTTTGAACTTGATAGTGTAATGACCTGGCTGGGGTTGTAAGCCAGGTGCATTCTGGGTATTGTGTTATATGTGTTTCCTATCATTCTGCTAGTTCCTATGTGCTGATTTGCGTGTTGTGTGAGTGTTATGTAAGCCACAGGAAGGTGATGTGTGTTCTGTGGAGTGGGTTGAATTAGCATGGTTAACTGACACCGTGACTCTGTGTGGTAGGAGCATGATAGAGGATCGTGTCTGTAGCGTTACAAAGCGTTGAAGAAAAAGCCTAATAAGGATCTGCGTGAACCTCTACTGCCTCCTGTTGGTTGATTTGGGGACTGTAACCCTGCCGCCGGGACGCTCATACTTGCTTGATACTACATTCCACCCGGCCACAATAAGAGACCGGCCATTATTTACCTCAACTGACTCTGACACCGGCCACAATTGGAGACCCGGCCTTTAATTGAATACCGGCCTGTATTAGAGGATTTACGGTAAACAATTCTCCAGCGATTTGATTTTTTTCCCCTTCCTTTCTTTAGTTGCTAATCATTTTTTGGCAGCGAGTCGATTTATGGCACAACACTGGCTCCGAGGGTGAACCGGCACCGCGCCACGGCCGATCAGCTCGAAGATCTCGCCAGACTGGGGTTTGCTGGGAGAATCTGCGCTCGGTTACGGGCACAGAGTTAGAGGGGACTGGGTCCGTGCGCGATCTCGGTGCTGCAGCCCCGCTGCAGACCCGGTTTGGTTTGGTCAATGCCAGGTCTGTGCTGAACAAAACTTTTATTCTTCGTGACTTTTTTATTCAGCATGACTTGGGTTTTCTCTGCATCTGTGAGTCCTGGATCCCGTTTGGCGACACAAGTTCCCTACTCTAGCTCATACCACCTGGCTGCTCGTGTTTTAATATCCCCAGACCACGGGGCAAAGGTGGAGGGCTGGTTGTTGTTTTTAAATCCAGCTTTCCTTGTAAACAGCTTACACCCACCATGTAATTTTCTTCCCTTGAACTGTGCTTATTTGAACTGTGCATCTCCCCCCGCCTGCTCGTCGTGCTGATTTATCGCCCTCCAAAGACTGACTCTAACTTCCTTAATGATTTCTGTGATCTTGTGGCAGACTGCATCCTAAAATATGACTATGTCCTATTTTTTGGTGATTTTAACATCCATATCTGCTGTCCTGATAATGTGCTTGCTAAAGGTTTTTTTAATTTGCTAGATTCATTCAATCTAACTCAATGGGTATCATCCCCAACTCATGCCAGGGGTCACACCCTGGACCTGGTTATCTCTTATGGTATACCCGTCATGAACCTTGTGACTTTGCCTCCGGTGTTCTCTGACCACTCTCCAATACTCTGTGATGTTACGTTGCCATGTCCTGTCCCTGTGTGTGAAGCTCCAGCTACTAGGTTCAGAGCCCTGGATGCAGAAACAATTTCAAAGTTTGTGGACTGTATGTCTGTAAGGTTAGAGACCTTTAACCCTGATCCATCTAACGTTGATCACTATTCACAACACTTTGATGTACTTTGTAATCAGGTCTTGGACGTGGTTGCCCCTCTCAAACTGTGCAAGTCTCGACCTAGGAGGGAGCCATGGCTCTCTGATGTCACACGGGCTTGCCGGCGGGCGTGTAGATCCTCGGAGAGAAAGTGGAAAAAGGATGGCCTACAGGTCTCGCGTGAGTTGTTCAGAGCATCTCTTGTTGCTTATCAGGACGCAGTGAGGGCTGCCAGAATGGCCTATTTTGCAGACATCATTGAGACAAACTCCAATAATCCTAAGATTCTCTACAAAATGCTAAACTCAGTTCTGGTGTATCAGGAGCCTAGCTCCATGTCTCCTACAGCTGCTGGAAACTGAAGCTTTTCACAAATTCTTTGTAGATAAAGTATCAGGCATTAGAGCAGTCATTTCAGGTAACTCTGTTGACCCTGTTCCAGTTCATCCATCACCACCCACCCTGAGCTCCCTCAATACAGTTTCATACTCTGAGCTGAGTAAGCTTGTTGCGAGACAGAAGCCATCTGGCTCTCCACTTGACGTTCTGCCACCTCGTCTCTGGAAGGCTGCCTTTCCGTGCCTTGGCCCTTCACTTGGTCAGATTATCAATGGGAGCCTCAGCACAGGTGTTGTCCCAGCTGCTTTGAAAGCAGCAGTTATTCGGCCGACCCTGAAGAAACCTGGTGCTGATGTCTCTGTGATAGAAAATTACAGGCCTATCTCTACCCTGCCCTTTACATCTAAACTGCTTGAGAAAGTCGTTTATCAGCAGCTGGTCTCACATTTAGCTGACTCTGATCTGTTTGAGGTTTTCCAATCAGGGTTCAGGTCTGGCCATAGCACGGAGTCGGCTCTACTGAGGGTCCTAAATGACATCTATCTATCACTAGATCAGGGTACATCTGTGCTGCTTCTGTTGTTAGACCTAACTGCAGCCTTCGACACAGTTGACCACGCGATTCTACTGGATCGCTTGGAACGATGGGTTGGGATCAAAGGGTCAGCTCTGGATTGGTTTAGATCGTATCTCCACAACAGGACATTCTGTGTTAAACTGGGTGATGTTTTTTCTTCTTGGGAGGGGCTCCGCTGGGGGGTCCCGCGGGGGTCGATCCTTGGTCCTCTTTTGTTTGCCATTTATCTGCTACCTCTGGGGTCAATCTTTCGTAAACATGGCCTAGGCGTTCCATCTCTATGCTGACGATTGCCAGATTTACTCTCCGTTGTGTCAGGAGAAAGGTCACTCTATTCAGTCCTTTGTCTCCTGTGTTAATGAGGTGAAGTCTTGGCTAATGTCCAACTATCTACATCTGAATGAGGGAAAGACAGAGCTCATTGTTTTTCACCCCAACAGCAGGAATGTGGATCGTTATGCTGATCTTGGGCCTCTTTCTCCATACTCAAAACCAGTTGTTACCAGTTT